CTTATTTGGAAATAGTATTAATGTATATACATATATACTGTATAATAATTGAAATGTTACTGTGTTTTACACAGTATTAGTCCACTAAAAACAGTCAAGACCGGTCATTTTGTAAAGACTAAAGGTCAGTTTTATATTGTTGGATATGGTATCACAGGTGCACATGCACCTTGTCATTGTAACTTCTGTATGGCTGGAAGGTCAGCATAATAAAAATAATAAATATATATAAATGTTGTGAGATTTAAGCTATTTAAACTAGGGGACAGAGGTAAGTCTTCGGATTTACAACGTTAGAATCAGGTGTTTGATTTCTCTCGGTGGACAAAGCAGATAGCCCGATGTGGCTTTGCTATGAGAAAACATACATACGTGAAAAAAGCATAATTTATATTTTTCCTAATCTTTTATGGTGGTTACGGGGTCGATCAAATTGATAGACCACATAGTGCTAGGGTAGAGAAAATAACAGAAAAATTATCAAGTTTTACTAAAAAGAAGTGTTTGAAATGTTCTTAGGAGGTTTTAGAGATTACACAAAGAATATTTGAGATTTTGGGGATGAACAATAGTTTTTTAGTTATAACACGAAAATCACTTAGCACTTGGATTGGTAACAAAAAAGACTATTTTCACAAACAAATTATTATAAAATACTTCATTAAAAAACTGACTTGTTGAGTACAAAAGACTTGTAATCTTTATTAAATGTCTACCAAATTTTTTGAGTATACACTTACTGCATTAAAAGTTATAGTATAAATACTTAACTCGTGTATATTATACCGAGCCTGTCGCGAAAGGGTTAATAGTGTTGTTGCAAATATATGAATAATTTTGTGTTTGAAAAGACAGAATCAAAAAAATTTTATATCTTTACATCTTTGAAATATAACTAGTATAAAGAGTGTTGTTGTCAACTAACCCAAAATGTGAACAGGTATCAATTTTTCACAACACTTCAATGGTTTATTTAGCTGTATATGAATAAAATAAGTCTTAATTATCATTATCATTTATGTAATTGGTTATTAAACCCAAAATTGTCTACTATAGTTTTTTTGCATATTGTTATTAGTAAGATGAATGATGTGTAAACTTCACTATCATTTACTGTAACTTCATTGCAATATTTCTGTCTCATTTGACTTTATATTTGACATATTTTGAATATGTGAAGGCTATAATTGCAGTTATTAACATAATATAATAAATTGAAATTAGGAGGTACCTTAACAGCGAGCTGGTAATTTTTAATGCTTTTAATTTTTTATTAAAGGTATACTGTTTAATTCTGATAATCAAGAATTTCAAATCTGTAATTACTGAAACTTAATTTTCAATAAATTTAGGAAATATTTTTTTTTTTACAAACACTTATTTGTTAGTAAACTATTAATTGAATATTTTAAAGTCTAAATCGTTTTATCTATAAAATTACAAATGAATTCTTATCACTTGAAGCTTTTTTTGAGTGTTATTAATAATGATGACATGTAAAGCTAAAGTTTTTGACATTTAAAAGTGGTGTAAAGCCAGTTGACAAGAAAGAAGGTGGAGGAGCACACAATTGGGGAACAATGAAGGATGAACTAGAGTAAGTTAAACAAGCAAATGCTTTTGTCCCTTATTTCATAAATTTATCAAACACATTTTTAATGACAACAATCCAACTATTTGTGTATATATATACTGTAAATAAATATGCATTTTTCACATTCGTATGTTTCACTCCTGTACCTGGCCAATGAAAATTAATTGGGGTGTTTGTTTTTTTACATAAATATAGCATGTGGTGAAACCTTATACAAAAAATTAACATTGATTAATATTTTTTGTTGAGATGGGAGAGCTTGCTAACTGTTCATATGTAGTGAATTCCCATTACTGAAATTGTGTAAGTGTTTGCTTTTTGCATGTTTCCTTGGTGGCTTAGTGGTAAGTATGCAGGCTTATAGTGCTAAAACTTGAGTTTCGGTACCTGCTGTGTGTAGATCAGATAGCGTAATGGGTAGCTGTATACTTAAAAACTAACTTGTCTTTCATATTTATAACTTTAAATTGTAAACCAAAAATTGAATTTAAAACATTCTTAAAATGCAATTATTTTTATTTTTTTAGTACTATCAGTTTGATCAGTTTACTGATATTTAGGGTTTAAATGTGTTACTTTTTATTTTTACGGTAAATTTCACTATTATTATAGTGTAGCATATGCGTAATTTATCTCGGTAGTAAATAAAATCTTGGTAGACAAACGGTTAACGTAGCAGTATTCTTCCTAACCAAACATGACTAGTCTAAACCTAATCATGGCTATTGTTGTCACTTTGTAAGTAAATATGCTACACACTTTCTCATCTTATCATGTTACACGTTAATAAAGCCAAAGTCTAAGGCCTTTGTTACATTTCTCTGGGATAAAATTTGTATTTCTTCATTATTATTTTTCAAAATCAACAGACAAGGCTTGAACTAACTTGATCATATAACAGCCATTTTTCTTGGTACAATCTTAATCATAATTTTTTAGGATAAAAAAACCAGAAAAGTTAAAAAGTTAAAGAATTTTGATTATCAGGTAATCATCCTTTTGTTTCCTGCACACTGTTTTGGAATTGTTTCAATATAGATTGATGTACCTTTCTGATAATGATATTTGTATTATTTTAATTATTAACACATTTCACCATCATGATCATCGTGATATTCCAAGGGATATAATTATCCTTATAATTTTCATATAATTCATGTATAATATACTTTGTGAATCTTCTCCTGAACCATCTTCAATTTGTTTTATATCTGTCAAATTACCTGTTATTCTGTGAATGTCTTTTATAAATAAAGGAATCTATTTATTCAGCATTATAAACTGAGGTTGAATATATATATATTATATATATCTAGGAACTCTTTTTATGTTTGTTTAAAAAAGTGTTGTGCTTTATTATAATAAACGAGTTTTACATAAAGAACTGCTACATTCCTGATCCTATAAAAATTCTAAATCATCAGATAAGTTACAGTATCTATTGAGAATAAGTGAAACACCTTTTTATTTGGAAATTAGGACTTTTGCTCCTGTTCTTAAGTGTATATTAACCCTTTTGCAATGGGAGCCCATTTAAATACTTTCTTCAACTGTCACTGTGTTACATTCAAAATTAATATACTCCTTTAATATCAATGTATGTGAATGACATTAATATTATAATGTGTGTTATGATTTGAGGTTCTATTATCCAAGTTTTAAGACCTTTATTTCAAAAGAAACATTTTAAAAAGCTACTTAAAAATGCAGGTGTATTGTCACGTGACCAACTTTTAAAGATTTTCCTTTCATTAAATTTGTAATTTCAGCTCTTTTCAAACAGAGTTAATTTTTAATATTTTATTTTTTTGTTCTTGTCCTTTAACACTCATTATTCATCTTGACAAGTGAATGGTGCCCTCAAGGCATATTACAGTTTCTTTGGGAGACCTGCACAAACCTTCGGCAAAATTTTCGTTCAGCATGAAATATCATAAGCCTTGAGAATGGAGGCAAAGTATTATATACATTTAAAAAATGTTTAAACCTTTTAATTATGCATTTTAAACCATAACTAATACATAACTAACTAAAATATAATAAAAAGACCTAAATACAATTTAAACTATATCTCTAACTATAACATATTTAGGGAAGAAACAGCTGTAAGTGCTATAGTCCCATCAACAGCCAACCATACTAGTTAATTTCATATAATCCGTGATAACTGCAAGCCAATTTCAAAATAACCATTGTTAGATTATTAGTGTAAAATTAACTCTTTCTAATGCACACGCACATTTTATGTACACATCTACATGGAGGCTATAAAACTCAAACATATGTATTGCAGGGTGTGGCAGCTGTCAGGGTTGAAAAAAATTTGTTTGTTTCAACTCTATTTCATTCAAAACGAACGAGTTAAAAATTATCTAAACATCTCATTGTTTAGATGTACCTCTACAGTACTGCCATAGTATTACTGAACATGCAGAGTGCCAAAATAGATATTTTTCATAGCTTATATTCTACAAAAAAATTAAAAGGTATTAATTTTTTCTATTTCCTAATTTTAATTATGTCATTGCATTGTACATTGGTGATAATAGCTAGTTAGTGATACAGTAGAGAAAATGAAAAATAAAATATAAACATTTACCTTAAAAAGCCTTTTGATATCATTTAAGGAGGTTCTAGAGATTATGCAAATAAAATGAAAACTATAAGACGAAAAAAGGATTTTTATATTTAAAATGAAAATCAACTTTCATTTGATTTGTTAATAGTTTGAATGTGAGTAACTACAATAGAAAAATTACATATTTTTTAGTAAAAACACCTAATTATAAAACTGTCATTATTTGTGTGCAAGATACTTATGATCTTCAATGAAATCTTGTCAGTTTTTGAGAGGATACGTTAAGAAATCTCAGAGTTACTACGTGTATTGTTGTACAAGTGAAATTCATGACTAGATTTCCACAAGTTGCATGAGCCTGTTAAGAAAGGGTTAATGCCTGTTCTATTCACAAAACTTTGTTAGTTTTGTACAGTCTTAGTCTAGAAAACTTTCTTCTAAATTTGTTTTACTACATTAAAAATTGATTTAGTTGAACCAGAAAATATATCAATCCTAGAACTGTGTAATTGACTTCAAGAACTTGATCCACACCTGCTCCTCTTCAAGATTTCTAAACTTGCACTATCATGTGTGAAAATGGTCATTTTAATTTACACAAAATGTTTGCAATATACATCTTTTACTGTGCATGTCACTGAGTTATATCCAAATTTTGATTTACGTTTTTGTTCATGGTATATTCATGGCTAATAATCCATATTTTAATAGTACATAAGTTTTTAAGTTCTTAATTTTATATGAACAACTGAAATGAGATTTTTTCTCTGAGCAATCCCCTCTTCTCTAATTCATTTACCATCCCTCCAATAAGTACAAAATTTAATGTAACTTACTTATTTAATACTGTCATTGCTCAGGCAAAGCATAATTTTCATAGTCTTCAATATTGTTTGTTACAGAGCCATCAAATAGAAAATTAGAACCCTCTTGCCACACCCACCTGTCACATCCTCTCTTTCAGGATTTGTCTTATATTTAGTACTATATTATTTATAACCAATAGAAAGCCAGGGTTTTCATCTATCAATTGACATATAATGTTTTCTGTACAGAGAATTGTCAGTTTCTCTTTCAGTACAAGCTTCGTTTCTACAGGAAATACATTGAGTAGCTTGGATGAATTTGTAATGACTCTTGTTAATTAGTTAGAAAGCCAGAAAAATTGTGATAGTTATGGGACATTGTCTGATTTTTGCATGTTGTTATTCTATGTCCTTTTTTGCATTATCTAAATAAATAAAAATGTTTGTCCACTACTACCTTTAGTATAAAAAGAAAAGTAATCTTAAGTGTCATTGACAGTTGGCAGCAAAAAAAAAGGCTCAGGTTAAGTACTTTATTTTTGGTTTTTCATGTGTATTCTTTATTTATTATTGTAAAAATAACTAAAATATAAAAATAGGAAACTCTGGGTTAGATAAAATAAATAATGATAACATAATAAGACTTCACAAGGCACACGTGAGCATCTCGTGGGCAATGTAATTCAATAGTGTAATGTGAGCTGTACGGTTGCCAAGTAATTTCAAATCTTATGGTGGAATATTAGTTTAGACATGGTCCAAAGGGCAATAAAATTTAAGTACAAATATATGTATACTGTTATGATATTTAAGCTATATAGGATAAACAAATCA